AAAAAAAAAATTACTTCTTGAAGGAGGTTGTCTTATTTGACGTGATACCGCTGCCACAAACTAGTCGTCTCGAAAACATTCTCATTAGATGTCAATTTTTAATCCTGGCTTGTTTTGGGGTTATAAGTACAATTAAAACCAAAATTAAGAAAATTTCTTCGTTACAACTAAATAAAGAACTACAAATAACAGTAAAACAAGCTGAGAAAAACTAACACAGAATTTGCTGTAGAATGACTTGGAAAGCTTTAGATGTGTATTTACTGATATAGGACCATCCAGAAGGCAACTTGCATGGATAATAAAAGGCTTTTCATGGCTAAATATATGAGGCTACCCATGTGTTCCTAGCTGTTTCTCGCTTTTTTTCATATCATGCAAAAATTATCTTTCCTGATCCTTCCACCTTTCCTGACTTTTCGTGCACTAGCTTGGGCTGAGTAACAAAATACTTTAAAAAAAGTAGCAAGAATCATCTACACATAGGGGAAAAAATTGCTTGAATGAAATATATTACTTGATGAGAAGTATGAGTAAAATTTGCAATCTTTACTTCTTCTGCCTTGTTAAAAACTATTAAATCCAAAAATTCACCATCTGATGGTTTTCCTGTTAACTTACAAACAAACGGCCAAAATAAAGATTGACGACACTTTACTAAGGTAAGTAGGCAGCTTTTCAAACTTTTCATCCTAATTAATCCTAAATTGAGAGAGCCATAATTGCAAGGGATACACCTTGTATTCAGAATGTTTTTTTCTATGGAAGTGAATTTTTTATTAATTATCCGTGGAGATGTCAGCTCAGAGCTAAGCCGACAAGTCATAAGCAAAAGTGTTCCCAGTCACACCTGAAGCAATTGGTTTTAAAGGTACATCGGCCTTATTTGAATCTTCGGTAAACCGTATGTGCCAATAACTACCAATGAATTAAACAAACACAAATGAATAAGGACTAAGGCGTTTTAAAAACATCTTGTTTAAGTAAGAGCTAAAGAGTAATCCAGCTTTTCTTTATTGATCCGCTCAAAGCATGCTAGATTTAAAGTACAAAGAAAAACAAAAGATTATGAGGTTTTGCCTGAGCTGAGAATGTAGATTGGCCGCCTAAGAATTTCTAGAGCTAAGGTTCCGAGCGTTAGTCCTCCGCCAGAGGAATTGTGGGTTATCCGTGGAGACGTCAGCTCAGAGCTAAGCCGACAAGTCATAAGCAAAAGTGTTCCCAGTCACACCTGAAGCAATTGGTTTTAAAGGTACATCGGCCTCATGCGGAATCTACGGTAAACCGTATGTGCCAATAACCAACGATGAATTAAACAAACACAAATAAAAAAAGGACTGAGGCGTTTTCAAAACACCTTGTTTAAGTAAGAACTAAAGAATAATCCAGCTTTTCTCTATTGATCCGCTCAAAGCAGGCTAGATTTAA